TAAAGCCCCCTTCCAGGCACATGCCAAGCCCCAGCTGCTCGGTCCGGCATGGCGAGAGTTTGTTTTCCATGAAGTTTGTTGCTGGGAGCAGGTTCGCGTTCCCTGCAGCCCACTCAGCCAGCCAGCCTGCTGCAGGGAGCGCCCAGCGGCTGCAAGGTAGGGCTCAGCTTTTGCTTGCCAGGATGGGATGGGGGTGTTGAAAGGTTTCCTGCTCTAGAAGTGCATCCTCCCTCCCTCCCTCCCTCCTTCCTCCTCCTCCTCCCCGACTCCTGCTTCATGGCACAGCCAGGCAGGTCTCTGTGGGCAGCCTGGGCTGTTGGCAATGGCTGTGTTGTCTGCGAAGTTTCATGGAAGGAGGGTTTGCAGAGCAGAGTGTCTGTGTGCCAGGGAGATGAAGTGCTGGACACAGAAAAGCTGGGTGGGGAGAGGGCACTTGAGAGGCAGGGGAGAGTGCTGCGTCCCCATCCCCTTGCCCTCCCTTCCCTTTCCGCCCTGCGGCTTTTGAGGGAAGCACTTGGAGCCTTCCCGTTCCTGAAGAGAACCCACACGTTTAAAAGCCTCGCTCGGGGTTGTCTGAGGACCTGTCAACACGGGCAAGATGGCCAGGAGTGACTGAGCACCCTGGCTGTGGTCTCTGCGGGAGCCAAAGTCACCTTCCCACCAGCGCCTTGCTCTGGGGTCAGCCCGGCCCGTCTCCAAAACGTCCGTGGAGTAACGGAGTTAATTGTTCTCCCCGTTTAACACAGGGCACTGCATTTCCCCAGTAATACTGAAGAAGGTGTCAGATCCTGTTGCCCTTCTGAGTATCTGAACGTATTAGTAGATGGAGGGTGGGAGATGGGTGCTGCTGGGTGTGCAGAGGCAGTGGGCACCTCAGCTCTGCAAAGCTTTAGAGATGCTGGCTGCAGCCCAGAGAGCTGCTGGGCATCCGGTGCGGTGGGTTTCTGCTCTGCCCGAGCAGGAGGGAGGCAGAGAGCCTGGGGAGGAGGTGGTGTGGGAGAGGGAGAAGTGCGCGGTGGGCACGGCAGCGGAGCACGGCAGAGGAGCACGGTGTGCCGGTGGGCACGGCCTGGGGCTGCGTGCCGGGACGCGGAGCAGAAGGGCCATTGAGCTCCTCGTCAGGCTGCCATGGTTCTGGTTTCAAGGCAGGCCTTTGAGCAGAGCACGAAGATTGGTCTCTGTGGGACAGATTTTCTAAATAGTTTGAGTGCAGTTGCTCAGCACATGTAGTCGGGGCCCAGATCTTCAAAAGAGCTCAATACCCAGCGCGTAGCTTTTTGGAAAACCTGACCATTTATTCAAGCATCTAAATGGGAGCTGATGCATTCCAGAAATCTGGTCCCTATTGTGCAGGCTGGGTTCTTGCTGAATATGTACGTATGTATGCACTCCTACATATAACCAGAGGACTGCTCAGCTAGCAGTTGTAGACTCTGCGCTGCTGACAGCGAAGGGAGATTTTTCAGACAGGAGACAGCCAGGATTTTGAAGCTCGAGGATGTGAGTTTGGTGGTTGGCGTCACAATGAAATTGTGGGAGGTTTTGTGGTTCACTGCGGTGACAGTCAGGACATTCCTGCCTTTCCCCACGCGTGTGCACGTGTGTGTGTGTATGTGTGTGGGTGTATAGGTTCACTGTCATTAGCCAGAGTGGCTTGGCTCTGCCTTGTCTCGTCTTGGCCATGATATGTGAAATTAAATTGTTACAGTGCTGTCAGCTGGCGTTTGCAGCAGTGTATCTTACTCCTTCCTGTTGCAACTTCATGACTGAAATGCGTTTGGGATTCAGGGTCTGAAAATGAGAGAATAACCTTTGTGATATTCAGAAAGTTTAAGGACCAGGGTTTGTGCAGTTCTTTGGCAAAATGTATTGTAATGAGGCGTCTGGCTCCTGTTCTCCATTTCTGGCTTCCTTGAGTGGCACTGGCAGCATCTGCAAGTGGGCAAGCGTGTGTCCAGGTGGGGTGGGGGTCCCTGACTTTCCCTGCTGAATTTATGGAGGACTTTCAGTGACATACCAGCAAGTTCTCGCAGCCTGTGTGCCCTGGTTTCCTCATTTGTAAAATGAGACGTAGATATTAAAAACCTCTCTTCAACTCATTGAAACTCTCTGGTCTGTGCTATTAAGTGAGTGCAAATTGTTCCTGCTGTTGGAATAATGAACACGGGCATGCACATGGTCTGTGACGAGCAGCTGAACTAGCTGGGCCAGAGTTTCCCCATCTTCCTGTCCTAGAAGACCCAGGAGACTTAGAGTTTATAGCACGAGAAGCCCCCCAAGTACTTAAAACATTATGAGATTTAGTAAAGATTTAATTTTAACTTGTCTTTCGGCACTTAGTCTGTAGAAATCACATTTTCAAGCTTTCCTTATTCCCTGCCAAAGCTGGAAATGTGTATTAAAGAAAGGGAAAAAAGGAAAACAGATTCTTGTAAACTGCCATAGCTCTGGGAACAGAGGCTTTAACAGATACGCCAAACACCAGCCGCCTTGTGTTAAAATGAGGGATGTTAGCAGTGTTGGCTGGGCACTCAGCAAGTGCAGTGAAGCTCTAGGCTGGTTTTGCCTCCTTTTTTTCACCAGTTCATCCCAGTGAAAGCTTCCGTGGCATCGTGGCAGGTTTACACTGGCAGGGTCACTGGTAGCGCAGTGAAAATTCAGCCAAACCCACATTGGAAGGAGCTGATTTCTGGAGCGCTTTTGCTTCACCTCTGCTTCACTTCATGCCTGCCTTCTCCAGCCTTTTCCTCCTGCCCTGTCCCTCCTCCTGCCCCTTTTTTTCCCCCATTTAGTGTACTGTTTCCTAAGCTAATTGTTCCACTCTCTTCTCCCCCAAAACACACAGTGGAGCTCACGTATTTGCTGCAATTGCATCTTCCCCTGACAGCATCCCAGCTTTGGCATGTGCTGGCAGCCGTAGCCTCAGGGCTTTGCCTGCGTGAGGAAGCAGTCAGCATCCCTCTGGAGAGTCGGTGAATTTTGATGGGACTGTTCCATTCCGGATGCACCTTTGGTCTAGACTGAGGACTTTAGCTTCTAGAATAAAATGCCCGTGCAAGGAAGCTGTACCAGAATAGGCGTTCTTTCCCGCAAGAAGGTCTCGAAGACAGGAGGGTGGATTTTTCTAAGCCCTGCATCTCGTGCAGGTGTTTGTCTGACCGCAGCTCTCTTGGTCCACACACCAGTGACTGCACTGGGAAGTTCGGAACACAGCACAGAAGTTTCTGCAGCTTCAGTAAAGAAGGCCACATCTTTAGGTGACATTGGTAGCACGGACGAGCTCCTGTAGTCAGCTGGGTGTGTTCTCATGGGAGCGTGCAGCTGAGGAAGGCAGGGAGGAAGCAGGGCTGTGTGGTGGAGCGTGCTCTGCTGTCCGTCCGTCCCATGTGCCAGCTGGCCTGGCATCGTCACGCCCCGCTGACTGGAGGTTGCAGAGGCCTACATTTTCAGTCCTTTCCCTGCAAACATGTGCTTTAGGATAAACATCGAGATAGCACTATGTAGGGAGAGCGTCCTTGGTTACAGTCTGTTCCTCAAGAGAGTATAAAATCAGGATGGGTGGGACTCGGTATTTCTTAGGCCATGAGGTTGCCTTGCTTTGCAATTTGAAGAATCCCATTTTTCTGTTGGGATGGGAGATGTGGGGGATCTCTAGGTTAGGTTCAAGCCTAGGTTCTGAGGTCTCCAATGACTGATCTCTTTACCTGTGCACGTGCAGCACGTGCTGAAATCAAGATTCGCCCACTGTTTGTACAGGGTGGGTCTGAGAAACGCTACAAGAGGGTGGAGAGTGAGGGTAAGGGGACACAGGGTCCCCTTGGGGAAACAGCGGGAGGAGAGCTCGGGTTTCTTGAAACCAGCCAGAGCTTGTTAAGTCCTTCCCTGTCATCTTGCCATGAACTGATTCGGGGGCTTCTGTTGATGCTCTGCACTCCGTGTGTTGGCTGCAGCTGGGGCAGAGATAGTGGGACGCTTCCAGCCAGAAGCTGGGATGTGGGGGAGGGGATACTGGGCTCGTGTGGATGGGTGGAGAAGGAAAGAGGAATATGAATGTATGGTTGTAAATCCACCCCTACACACCCTCCTTTCTTTTCCCTTACAACTGCTGTTCTCAGCAGTGAAAGTTAGCCTTCCAGTACTTTCTGATTTCTTTTGCAGAGTCGGAAAGACAAGGAAAGACCTAAACAGAAGCACAAAAAACGCCCGGAGTCTCCCACCAGCCTTACCCCATCCTCAGTGCCCGTCGCTGCAGAGAAGGTACCAAACCCAGGATGTGAGCGTGTCACTGCAGGGTGGGGAGGGAGGGCAGGGGCACTAGCTCTTGTAGGAAGTGGGGAGGAGAGAGCAGAGGAGCAGAGAAAGGGCTTTTGTCCGTTTATTTTGATTCCTGATTCGTCACATTCTTGCTCTCTCTGCCTGACTCCCCACCTCGACGCCCACCTTGGGAATTTAACGCGGCAGCTGTCTCGATTTCTGTCAGCACTGACGACACAATCATGGAGCTAAACTCCCAAGTGATTGAGCTGTAAGTGCCAGCCTGTTTTGCAGCAGATGTTCAGATTTGAAGCTCTCGTGGAATAGATAAATATCCATGCTTTGGCCTTTTCTGCTGCTACGTTGTAAACAGCTCAGGCAGGTGGGTAAACCAGGCAAGGCTTGTGGGAGGAGATGTTACCCTTAATTAAGCAAACTGATATAGCTGAGGGGAAAAAACCCCAGACAATCTTAGAAGCACATCTTCAAAGTGCGTAATAGAGGTAGCTTTGCTGTGCAACACAGTGTGAGGTTGGTTTCTATTTGGTTCCTCCATTTCAGGAAAATCCAGGCAGAGGGGCAGAGTGTGGCACGGTGTGGTGGCCTGCTTTGTTCCTGAGGTGTAGAGGCAGTCCAGTTCCCTGCTGGGAAGATGTTGCTTGTGTAGGTTTGTCTGCCCAGTGCCCAGGGCTGGTGGGGCACAGTCAGGATGTCAGTGTATTTCTGCTGCTCACTGCTGAAGTCATGCTGCTGACACGGACTCTTGCACCCGCCTGTAAATCAGGATAGCCCTGAGCTCTCGGTAGTTTGTGCCAGCCCCAAACTCCAGCAGTGCAGAACAGACGCAGTGGAACTCACCTCGAGTTTGCACGCAACGAGGTGAAGGTCGAGCTTGCAGTTGTTCGGGGTCATGGAACAAGTGAGGTTACTCCAGCACCTGGACCTTTGGAGTTGTACTCTCCTCTCTGTAGTGGGAATATAAATTAATGCAACTCCTTAGCAGGGCTGTTCTGGTGTAAGTGAGAGTAGGACTAGGGCCAAGCTCTTGCTAGAACAAATAAACAACGTGTCCCAGGAATGTCCTTTTGTGCACAGAAATGCTGCTTGGAAAGGCTTGCATGTCCTTTATGTGGCAGGACTGCCTTGCGAAAATGAAAATTCACAGGCTAGCAGTGTCTGCGTATGTGAGAAGCACTGCAGGGGCAGTCTGGAAGAGTGAAAGCTCCTGCCAGTCCGCACAGGGTTGCTTTGGGTTAGGACTGAAGAGGATTTTCTCTGTGCTATGTGAAGCCAAGCCTGGAAGCAGAGCGTAGATGTAGGTCAGAGCCGAAGTGGCAAAGCTGCTCTCGTGGTTCTCAGGCTGGGAGAAGCAGAAAGTTACAGCGGAATGGAGCAGAGGAACAGCCTCTGGGCTGCAGTCTCTCTTGATTTACCTGTGCTCAGCTCTGGCTTTTGGGAACAGCACATTCACCCAGTGAACAGAGCTGTGAGGAACTGATGGCCTAAGAAGATTATTTTCAAGCTGAACTGAAATCCTAAACCTGACTCCTGGCCAGGTTGTTAGACAATTACCCACTGTCTCCTCCAAAGCCCTGCCAGACCTGTATAAATAAGGAGGGAAGGGTGCAATTCAGTTTTACAGGCAGCTTTCAACTCTTTGTAAGCTAAAATTCAGGAGATCCTAATTACTGTAGCTGTACTTGAGTGACAGGGTTTTAGTGTTTCCCCAGGGAGTTATTATTAATCCTCATAACAGAGTGTGTTTCCCTTGCTTTTTTGTGCGTAGATCCCAAAGTATTGTTCAAACTCTGTTACCGAAGGTACTCCCTCCAGATCAAATGTAAGAGCTGCTCAGCAGCCTGCTAAAACCCTGCACAAACCCCTCAGGGGTAGTTGCTTTCTGGATGGTTGCACCAGTGTAGCATTGCACAGGTTAGACTATTGTAAAACCCCGAGACACATTAATGTAGCATGTCCAAACAGATTTCCTCCTGGAAGCCAAAACCAGCTTTGTCCTTTCTGGGTCTAAGATTAGTACAGCTTGTCCCCGTGGAGTGGGGGGTGGGTAGGGTAGGGTAGATGCAGCAAACCAAAAGCTGACGTTCATGGTGTGACTACGCAGAAGAGCATTGCTAGTCCCTGCTGTGCCACGGTTAGAGTCTGAAGAGAGCTGGGGTCTGTTCCTCTCCTCACCACTTGTGTGAGCTGGGGCAAATAATTTATCGTCTCCATGGTCTTCTCCAAGTTACCCAATGAGCCAGAGCATAAACTCCCCAAGGATAATCCCTGCAGGTGACACAGCCCCCATCTTCCGTGGGGAGCAGCTGGCTGAGAGCAGATCTCAAAGACCTGCAGCAGTGGGGGCAGATGGTCGTGTCCAGGCTCCTGGGAGAAGGACGCTGGCCCGGAGTGGCCATACAGAGCCCTGGTGCAGCCCTTGGTGTCCGTGCCAGACCGGTGCTGCCAGCTCACCGTGCTGCTCGCGCCGTGGCCAAAGTGGCACCACACACACTGAGGCCAGGCTCCAGTCCTGGTGCGCAGGCTGTGCTGGAGCAGGAGCTGGGCTGGAGGCACTGAGCGTCACCGGTGTTTTGGGGTTGGCAGTGAGGAGCAGGAGCATCAGTCAGACGAATCAGCAGAAGGGCCCTGGCACCGTTTGCTCCTTGGGCACCAGGACTGTGGGCAGATTGGAGTGTGGCACCAGTCACCAGGCCAGGGAGAGGTGTTCCTGGTACCTGAAGCCTTGCTCCAGTCTGCTTCCAGTTTGCTTAGCCTAAAAGGAGCCTGGGGCAATAGACATCTGGGCCCCAGCATCTGATGTTGCTACCAAAGTCCTCCGAAGCTTTCAGCAACCCTTTAATAATGGATTTGCAAAACTATTAGTCCTATCTGGTAGGCCTTTTCAAGGTACTTCACCAGGTTAGGCTGACAGCAGTGGAACTAGGTTTCATTGCTTTGGAGGAACAGTGGTATATCCCGGTTCCTTGTTCCCTTAGGCAGCCTGGCCTCTGTGTTCACATTTTTCTTTAATTGTGCAATCCAGATTTATTTTTTGTTTCCAATTTTCACCTAATACATCGTCCACCCTGTGCTCCACTCTTGAACCATTTAGTTATGAAGAAGATCCCTTGATGTGGTTTCAGTCTTCCTCTTGAAATCAATAATGCTAGACCTCTGACTTCTGCCAGATTTTTGAACATCTCCTTGAGTGCTGCCCTGCATCTTCTAGGAATCTAAATACCGTTGATATCTGACACTTGGACTCTGCCAGGCCCCCGTGTCCTGTCTGTGCAGTGACAAGCTCTCACTGCCTCACTCTTGTCTGGCGGATAAACATAACTGAAAGCACCATGGTGGCCTCGGCTCTCATCTACACCGGAAAGTGAAACTAGGGTGTGAATTCACAGCATGCAAACGACTTCTCATAACACCTCTTCTGAGCTCTCCTCCTGCCTCAGAAAAGTGCCTTTGGGTGATGCGATTTTCGTGGCTCTCAAAGAGGGGCGGGAGGTCTTGCTCGTGGGGCGCGGGAGCGGCCCTTCCAGAGAGCACGCAGAGCCGCTGACCTGCTGCAGGTCCCAGGGCTGGGGCTTTTGGGGGGACTCGGGGGATTGTAGAGGGTGGATTTGTGCTGGATAGAGGCTCTCACTCGTCGTCATGCTGGCTCCTTGGAGCTCCTGCAGACTTGCTGGGGAGAGGGAAGGAGGCAGAAAACATCCCCTCTGGGTAATAATTCCTGGCTGTTTCATGTGGTCTATCCAAAAACGCCAAAATGCTGCCAAGTAGTAATGCTTTTGAACAGCCTGTTGGAAAGATGGCATTCATGGAGCAGGCCCGGGGCAGAGGAGAGTTTCTCACCAGGGAGGAGCAACGAGTCTCACCAGTACGTATTGGGAGCCAGGGCTGCTCCAGCTCTGCAGTTACACATCGCCAGACAAATGCAGGAGGCAGTTTCTGTGTTCGGGATCTCTCTGTGTAGCTGGCTCTGGCGATCGAGGTTAGAGAGCAGCCAAACGGCAAGCAGCGTGCCTCTCCCCTCCCCCTCAAATGCCCCTGGGGAGCCGTCCTGCCGCTCTCTGTTGCACTTGCAGTAAATCTGCAGGATTGCAAGCCACCCCAGCTGCCTGCTTCTGCCAGCTGCAGACATCGTGATCACTTGTTGACACACACTCACACATGCTATGTGTTTTGGGCTTGCAACATCTGGCTTGCTCTGGGTTTTGTAACCTAAGCTGTGGATGCCAAGGTCTCCCCGCACCCACCTTCTCCCAGTCAGGTGCTGGAGAGGGAGCGGAGCAGGGCGAAGAGTTCACGACTGCAGACACCGCTGGAGGCAGGGAGACTTTCCAGGTTTCCCACTGTTATTTGAGCTCTCGGCATCTATCCGGGACTGGCCTGGAGCTGACAGATCCTGGGAACCTCTACAAATTCACAGTAGTTGTGACGGGGTAGGGGTTTGTGGGGGAAGGCTGGTGATTACCTCTGCTAATCAAAGCATGTCTCAGCATGGATATTTGCAGTAAGAATCCCTGAGCCTTTTAGCATCCCTTGTCCTGACATGAGTGGGAATGTGCTAGTGACATCAGGGACTTAAAAATACAATCTTCAGCCCATCTGTGTCTCCCACCCCCACCTGCAAAGAACAGCGGCACGGAGCTGCCTGATCTTGAGATTGAGGGAAGGAGGGACATGGTTAAAGCTGATGAGTGGCTCAGACACAGAGGTGCTGGAGCTCGTGCCCGGAGCTGGCGATGGAGACTCGTCTGACCTCTCGCTAGTGAGCCGGCGTGGAAAGGCAGCTGATGCTCACAGCCTGCCTGCATCCAGCACATCGCCCGGTGGCGCGTGGGCTGGAGGAGCTCCTGCTCTCGTCGCGTTGTTCCTCGTTCGTGTCCTCCCTGCTTCCTCTCACCAGTAGTTTAATCCAGGGCAAAGCCGCTCTGTGTTTCCGACGCGGCGCCAGCCTCTCCCACCCCTTCTGGATTGCGTCGGTGGTTCCCTCTAGGAGCTGGTCCCGCCAATCAGGAGGCAAAGAGATGCTCTTCTGATTGCCCATAAATAAATGAATGAATGAAGAGCTTGGGTGCTGCACAGTGGCACAGAGAGGCCAGGAAACAGGTACAGCCCCTCGGGGGACAGCGAGCGTCGGGGGGAGGAGGTGCGTGCATGCCTGCGATGGGGTGCCCGCGCGACTTCGTCTCACTGCTCCCGGGTTGAGGCAGGACTTTCCCCGTCACTCAGCTCCAGCTGGGGCAGCAGGGTTATTCTGCTGACGTTTTTCACTCGGCTGCTTTAAATAGACCTTCAAAATGTAGCTGCTGCCTCATTTTGAAAGAGAGCTCTCAATTCCTCAGTGCTTCCCTTTTTCTTTTCCCTCTGCAGCATGCCCTCCCCCCACACCTGTTTGCAGCACACGACACGGTGGTGTTTCTGCACGCACGCACACGGATTTCCATGCTGGAGAAAAGCCGATGATCCGGAGATTGAGACCTCCGTTTATGCACAAGGCGAGCAGCAGGCATGCAGGTTTCTCCAGTCCGGCTCCCTCTAGGCAGCAGCCCTGAGCTGGAGAATCTCCTGCGTTAGGGAGGCGAAGGGACTGCAGCCCTCGTTACTGTTATTAATATTGGCATTATGGTAGCAGACCCCTCCCCTTCAGATCAAGGCCGTGTTGTGCTTGGCAGTCCACGTGTGTCTCCTGGAAGGCTCCGCTGCCACACAGAGCTTGCAGGCTCCACGCAGCAAAGTGGGAAAGAAATAGAGGTACAGAGAGGGGAAGTGATTTCGTGTGGTTTCAGTTTCCCTCCCTTTGCTCCTCAGCTGCAGTGCTTGGGCCCTTGCCCCAAACTCAGGCTCTCTGGAACGGCTGCTAGAGAAGGGCCCTTTGTGGTCAGAAGGGCTTGTGGTAGCACCGTACAGATCTGTCTGCCGTGACCTGTTTGGCAAACAATATCTAGGATAGCATTTGGCAGGAGGTGGGAAAATCCTGCCTTGAAATCTCTGGGAGTCTCTCAGGGAGGTCTGCGAGGTCAGATCAGCCCTGCAGGTGAGTGTCTGTCCATCCACCGCCGCCAGCTGAGCCAGCTGCGCCTCTCTTCCCCTCCTCCCCCCCTGCTTTAATTTTGCAGTGAAGATTTATTTCCCAGCTCAGCTTTCCCCCTTCCACCCTGCACTAATTCATTACTTGCCCCGCACTCCCTTCCTGACGCTCTGGATTTAGAACATGTCTTCTCATGTGGTTTCCCCCTGCTCTTCTGTGGCCTCATGCACCTTGTGCGGAGCTCCAAAGAGGTGAATTTATGGGGGGAAAATTTGGGGCTTTGCATTTCTGCTGAGACACGAGCCATCTTGTTCCTGCGACTTCGTGAGCAGTCTCAGGACTTCCCATAGCCCCCAGACACCGCTCTCCTTTCCCTCCTCAGGCAGATGTGGAAAGTCGGAAAGATTTTCATGCTCCCTCTGAGCTCGTAAATCACGAAGGCTTAATCTCCTACATCCAGGAGTCTGTGATGAGAAAATACAGATTCCCCCTCCTCTCCCCCCTAATTTCCACCACTCCCTTCCTCCTGTCTTTCATATTCCCGGCACATCTGGTGTGTGTTAGGCTGCCAGCTGTTGCATTGTGCGGAGTGATTAAACCATGTGGGAGGAACGAGGAAAGATTTTTATCTGGGCATTCATGAGTCTGCATTACAGCCCTTTTTTCTTTAGCTCTCCCCAAGAAGAGGTCATCTGGAGTCAGGGATAGTGGAATGTGAGAAAGGTATTGTGCTTCTCTGTGTCTTCCTCGTATCTGCTTAGTAAGAAATAAAAGGTGTTTGCACTAATGTACAGGTGTTATATTTTGGGCTGTAGCCCAAAACTGGAGCTACATCTATACTATTGATTGGTTGCAGTGATGTCTTGCAAGAAGTGGCCTTTGAACACTGCTAGTTTGGCTTTGAAGTGACTTGAGGGTGAAGGCTTCATATCCTAGCGTGGGTGCCCCGGGGGATCCGGTTTTCGGTTCATTCTGCTCTTCCCCTGCTAAACTCCCACACTTCTCTCTCTCATCCCAGGCTCCTGGATTTCCTAGCATCTGGCCAGCCTCTTCATCCCCCTTGCTTCCCTGTCTCCTGCAGGCTTATATGGGGTTTGGATAGCATCTGTTGCTGCGTGGTTAGATGCTGTTCTAACGATGTTGCTGTGAGATACTTACCGCAGTGGGTTTGGAAAGCCCTGGGCTGGCAGTGGATGCTCTGGGGAACCCAGGGAGACTCCCGTCACAGGACAAGGATGGGCAGGTTCCCCCAGCTGGAATGACCTTGCTGAGAACAGCACACCTGAGAGATGCAGCTGAAATATGTGTTTGAATCCCAGTCAAATTCGGGTTTTGTTGAGTCTCAATAACCTTCTGATGCAGGGAATCTCTGATGGCTGTGCCCTGATTGTCAGTGCCCTCTTTAATTTCCTGCGGTTAGATGGGATGAGCGTAATCCCTAGGAATATAAAGCCTGGTGCCACCAAGCAGCAGGAGAGGGAAATGTTGGTTTTCTCTCCTGAGTAACATGACCTGACCATCACTTTGTGGGCAGGGGGGGCAGTTACTTCTCTTAAGGGGAAATTGGTGAAAAGAGCCCCTGCTGTGGCCACATCTGGCCCGAGGGAGTGACCTCTGTGTTTGCTGCTGCCAGGGCTCCACCAGCCACCATGAGGGGAGCAAAGAGAGCTCAGAGGTCGTCCGGTCGGATGTGAAAGGCAAGAAGTCCTCCAGCCATGGCAGCAGCCACAAGGGGAAAAAGACAGGAAGCGGGAAAAGCTCGGTCGGCTTCAGCTCAGCTTCGTCCAGCGCGACCTTCCAGCCTGCAGGTACGGGGTGAAGGAGAAGCACAAGAGGAGGGGATAATGGGGGTGATGTTTTGCTTTGCTGCCCTTTGACGTCTCTGGATCTGTAAAGATACCCATTCACCGGCTGATGCTCTGAAACTTTGCTGATTGCTATTTCTTTAACCCTTTGAAGAGGAAGAAGTCTTATTGCTATGGGAAAAGTCTTATTGCTACGAATTCCGTGCACGGAGGGAAGAACTGAGTCAGATGAGTGTTACAGCTCCCTTCCCGTGCAGGCCTGCTGCACTGCAAGGCAAAACAGATCCAGATGTCTGAGCGGAGGGAGGAGGGAAGGGATACTGTGTGCAGGCAATATGGGCAGCACCTGCCCTCTCCTCCGTAGGTGGCACTGTCTGCAGCAGTGTTTTAAGGAGTACTAGTGGAGAGACCTGAGCCAAAACCTGGTATCCGGGCTCCCCTGAGCTTTGAGTCAAAGCCTTGCAGGGCTCCCATCTGCTCTGACCTTGCTTTTTGAGCTGTTGTCGTAACAGCGAGCGTGTTTCAGCTCCATCAGGGCTGGAGGGACCGTGGTGATGCAGGGCCTGGAGGAGCAGGCGCGTGCCCGTTTGGGTGGGGTGAAGCTGCTGGTGTGCACCTCTTGTGCTTGCTAGGGAGCATCAAAGCAACAAGAGGGGCAGCAGGGCTGGAGGGCAACAGAGATGTCCTTCAGCTCAGTAACGAGCCTGTCCCAGAGGACCTGCATGGTGACCATGCTTCTGTTGCCTTGTGGGCTGAGTTCCTGCCACCGCGAGCCTTCCTATATCTGCTTCCTCTCTGCTTCCCCCCAGGTACCTCCTGCAGCAACCTGCAGTGCTCCCAGGACTTTGTGACGTTCCCCAAGCTTGAGCAGGACGACGAGAAGTACCGGAAGCCTGTCTCTTCCTCATCTTCTTCCCACTGCTCCCCTCTGTATGAAGGCCAGAAGGGGGACATCTTTGAACAGAAGGTGATCTTCTCAGGCTTTGGGTCCATCATGCGCTTCTCCACCTCCACAGTGAGCCAGCAGAGAGGCCGTGATGCTTCTCCCGTGGACTATAAGGCCTCGAACCCTGTCAGCGGCCCTTCAGTGGGGAGCAGCGGGACCAGTGGCAGCAGCAGCAGCAGTCACAAGCGCATGCCGTCCCTCAGCATGGAGGAGGGAGAGGTGCTGAAAGAAAAGAAGCACAAGGGTAGCAAGAAGAACAAGCACGGGCCTGGCAGGCCAAAAGGGGGCAAAAGCAAAGAGATTTTGGGTGCCCAGCTGGCTGGGTCCACGTCCACTTCCTCGTCACCCTTCTCCGGGGGCTCTCTTGTTAGCTCCGGCATCGGCAGCTCTTCACGGTCCTTCAGCCACCCGGGGAATCTGCCCAGCCTCAGCATGGAGTCCCCGCTGCTGGGTTCAGGTATGTTCTGCCTTAGGGCTCCAGGTGCGCACGGTTCTCCCCAGCTCTGCTGTCTTTTTCATCACATTTGGCTGGTGTCTGGACCTGTCTGCACAGAGTCCAGTCCCTTTCATTCAGTCCCAGGAGCTATAAAAATCCACATCTAGGTCTCCCCTTTCCATCTTGGCCTTCATCCTAGAATCTCCTCCGGGTCAGCTTCTTTATCGTTGGAGGTGGGCTGTAGGTATGAGCTTGGGGGCATTTCAAACCCTTTATGCTCAAGTGCTGGAAAACCTGAGCTAGCCAGAGCTTAATTTCCAGAGCAACAGAGAGGGAGATTCCCAGAGCAAACCAGAACAGCCACAGTCTGACCCCAAATGAGGGGTTCTCGCAAGTGGTTCAAGTTTAACCCCTCTTTTAAAAGCAAAACCTCTCATCCTGGTCTTACTGCGTCCACGTAGGGTTGGGAGACTGGCACACTGTTAGCTCTGCTGAGAGGCTTGCAGCCTTGCCCAGCCTGCGTCCCCTGCCCTGGCCTGGCAGGGATAAGGGCAGCCAGGACGAGTGGCAGGAAGGGGTTAAGGCAGCAGGCAGAGGAGGGGCCTGCTGCTCGGGGCTGAGGTTTGACACTGTTCTGGCAGCAGAACTTGTCGTCGGGTCTATTGTGGGTTGTTTGCAGATGCTTCAATTTAGGTCAGATTGCAAGAAGGGGGTATAATTTTGTTGTGTGCGCCTGGGAGCCCTGGCCCATTTGTCTGCACTGCCTGAGAGAGTAGAGGAGCTGCAAGAATTGATGCAACTTCCATAATCACAACCTTAGGCCAATTTTTTTTCGCCTTCCCCCTGGAACAACAAAGGGATGTTTCAAAGAGGGAGGAGGCTGCCTGTTCTTCTTCCATTCTTCTCTTTCGGAGAGATGTTGGCAGGGCTCGGAGGCTTTGGGCACTGCCTCTGCCACACGCCTGAGCCAAGGGGAAGTCCCACAGGTCCACTCCCTCCGCAGCAGCTCTCTCCTCTCCTCACCCTTTCTTCCTCATTTATCTGTCCATGCCGCAACGTGGTCCCTGGGCATCGTGGAAGGGGACAGGTTAGCTCAGCAAGAGTGTGGTCTCTTGAATGCCACGGGCAGCAGAGAGTGGGACTCTCTGAGCCCACTATGCCCTGCTGCCACTGACTTGTGCCTGCGGTGAGTCACTTCATGCTGTGATTTCTCTGTCGGATTGTGTCGGAGTGCGGGGAGCAAACGAGAGGGGCAGGGGCAAGGCTGGAAAAGTTTGTGATACCTTTTGGTAGCAGGGTTGTGGGCTGTGACCACCCTCGCTGCGTGCCAGGCTACGGGATGCTGCAGTGCATGCTGCCCTTGGTCTTGTGCGTGGGTGTCACCGTCCCTTTCTGAGTTCAAGCCCCGCAGAAAATCGGCTGCTTCTCTAACACGTCTCCTCCCCTTGCAGGGATCTACACCAGTAACAAGGACCCTATTTCCCACGGGGGCGGAGTGCTCCGAGCTGTGTGCAGCACACCCCTCTCTTCCAGCCTCCTGGCACACCAGGGCACCTCGTCCCTCCCGCAGCTCAACCGGTCTCCCTTTGCTAGCACCATCCCAGCCTCCTCCTCCTCGGTCTCCACCACACAGGTAAGAACATCAGGACTGGGAGAGGGACGGTAGTTCAGGAGGGCAGGAGACAGAGCAGGGCCCGTTTGTGGGCACAGCAGAGTTGCTTTTTCCACTTGGGAACAGCTCCTCTTCCGTTGGTTTGGAGGGGAGCTGCCAACTGCAGCTTCGCTTGGAGTCGGTAGAAAGATGGAGGCAATTTTGCATCGCAGCCCACGCAGCCGGCTTCGGGGTGGGAGGAACTGCAACCTGAAAGGACACGTTGCTTTCCGTGGAGTGGCAGGGGAGCGCAGGCGGCGCTTAGGTAGCAGAGGCCTGGCTGTCACCGTGCGCTGTGTCCCCCGTACTGCTCGTCCCCGGCTGCTCGGCGGGATCCTGGCACCGGTGCCAGCCCTGCCTTCACTCTGCGGCACAGATAACGCGGTGGGAGGGCTCGCACGTCCCGGCTGGGTGGGCTGTGCGTGTGCCAGGAGACAGAGCTGCGTCCTTTGTCGGGAGCTCGATGTGAGAAGTGTTTTACAGGGAAGAGGGAGTCAGTTTAACAGCCTCAGTGTTAACATGGCTCATTCAGACCTCTTGGCTCTGAGATGGGGCTGGGAAGATTTCAACTGTCTAGCGAGACTTCCAGGGAGATATTTTTAACACTTTCTCTCATGAGCAAGCTGGGTTCAGGAGTCAGGAAGAGATGGAATAATGAAGTTATTTTCCTCTTGCGTTTTTGAGAAGTCATTTCTCTCTCTCTCCCTCCTTGTTTTGCCATGTAGGTATTCTCACTGGCAGGTTCAACATTCAGCCTCCCTTCCTCGCATATTTTTGGAAGCCCCCTCACATCTGGGCTATCAATCAACCCACTCTTAAATCAGTCGGAAAGCAGCCGGGCAGGTACGTGAATCAGAAGGTATGTGAGTTTGGACTTCCAAAGGGGTCTCCCTGGAAGAGTCGAAACAACTGCATCCGTAGTTCTCCAGCTGCCCTCCCTGCTTGCCCCCATCCCGTGCGTGTGAGAGCCAGGGGCTAGGAGAGAGGGACAGTGGCTTTTTCCCCAGGGCAGGGGGTGCTTGTGTTTGCCTTAAGGATGTGCTGGCCTGCAGTCCTGGGAAAGCGTATCTGCTGGTGTGTCCACTGGATAATGTGTGTCCCTGGACATGTGCTGGAAAAGTGCAAGAATGCAAGTCCTTCCCTACAGAAATTTGTTGTCTTTATGCACACGAAAGCTGTGCAAACCTAGTGGAAACTGCTGTGAGCTTTTGCTTGCTCAAAAGCAGTTAAAAGTTTTTGTTGTGGTTTTGTTTTCTGACGGGTTTTTTTGTGTTTTATTTTTAAGTGAGAGCTATCTCACACTCTTTAATTTTTGTCTTCCATTTCTGTTTTGAGTTACTTTCTGCCCTTCCCCTTTGGCTTTGTCATGAATACAGCAAAATCCACTGTTTTCAACTTCCAAACATGAACGTGCCAACACCGAATTACTCACAACTGCTCATTTTTTCCCACCGAGGCAAATTCATTTTTCTTGGAAAATTGCCTGGTTAATAAGCAGGAAACTTGAAGCATCGTAAGATTCCTTTTTTTCCCAAAACAGAGCGGGCCTGGTTTTTTGTTTGCACTAGCAGTTAAACAAAAGCACCCTCCTGATTTTCAGATGTTGCAGTTAGCGGTGCAACTGTCTCGTGCTCCCCTAGCCCGGAAGGTTGGTGGCTCAGCATGCTGGATGCTGAACGCCTGGGAGGTAAACCTCTGCCCAGTGTCACCCTGAGTGACAAGGACTTTAAAACACACAGCCCTCATTAGAGGTGGCTCGGAGTTCTCCGGATAATCTGACACCAGTGTGCCCTTATTTGCCTTAACCAGTGTGCATGCCTGCATGTGAAGCATGAACGAACACGTATGCTTACTGATGACCTTTGCAAGCCCGTGGAAGGTGCCTGTCTGTCTCTCCGTGTGCCGCTGGCAGCGTTTTGTCTGTGTGTCCCCGTGGCAGCTTGTGTCTGCTTGAGCGCGACGGGAAGGTGACTGCGCAGCTGACCCCAGTGGGAGCCAGGGCCATTGCACGGGAGCTGTGAGTCAGGAGCGATTCAGTCACCTGGAATTAAGGAAGGAATGGAATGATTCAGAGAGTTATTCTTCCCTCACGGCGATCGACAAGCGAGAGATGACCCAGTGCCGCTTCCCCTTTGCTGGTATTTTGGCAAGGTGCTGACAGGAGAGGGAAGCGAGTCAACTGGCAGGAATAGCCCTGTGGTTCAGGCACAACACGGAGGCTCCGCAGTCGGGGTTCTGTTCCAGCCCTGCGGCTACTAATGAATGAATCATGTAGGCAAAATGCAGCATACACAGTGCTCAGAAAAGCCTGATCCTTAGTTTCCATTTCCAAGATTGCTCTTTCTGTTTGACTGGGATCTCAGAAGCTTCAGGACGTGGGTCTTCCAGTTCCAGGCAGCCTTCAGAGCAGCTCCTGGGCTTTGTCACGTTTAGGGTTTGTCCGTCACTATCTCCTCCTGCTGGAGGTAGTGACCCAGAGGCTGTTCAGCCAAATTCACCTTTTTTCCAAGGGGATTAATTAACATGCATTAAGCCTCCTGTGTGGGCCCATTTTCACTTAAAAGCGCGGTGACTGCTTTAATCCCAAATCGTTAAAAGTTCTAAGTAATCCTGCCTTGCCTTTAACTCGGATGATCTTCGCTTTGTCTGTGTAGACAGGTCCCATGGAGATGTAGCTTTCATTGCAGTAATATCTGAGCTCTTCACAATTTTAACGTGATGTGGGGAAATGGTGTTACCCTGTCTTACGGATGGGGGAACTGAGAATCTGTTATTGCTGATGCAGGTTGATACCAGGGTGCCTTTGGCAGTACAGAAAGTCTGATTCTTATCTTCCCACTCCCTTAGCTACTGTCTAGTTCTTCCTCCCACGGCTTGTCCTGAATCTTGCTTCCTTATGATGACAGGCCAAATGTATTTATCTTCTCTAGTTGTCTTCAGGCCTCTTCTTGATACTTGCTGCCTTGGGAAGTGCTGTCTCTGTGTGATAACTCAGTCATCTCCTTGTTCTGTAGACAACAGGGTGGTGTTGGCCAGGAGATAATTGAATATGGAGCCTGGTACTGTTTCAGAAAACCAGAATCATGCATGTGTGTGTGTGTATATATATGTATGCGAGCAACCTCCCTGGGCTGCAAGCAAACGATGTGACAGTGCAGTCAGAGTTTAGCTGAATGTATATTTGGTTGCAGATTATAGCTGTTGCTGCAAAGGTAGGCTGTGGATATCTTTCAGAGGGTTGAGGTGGTCCTCGGTTGGAAACAACACAGAGAAGCACTGTTGTAGTCTGCCTGTTCCCAGCCTTCTGGTAGCTGATCCTGGGCTGGAGAACTTCGGAAGATTTCATGCCTTACCGCAAGGCATCAGGAAATCAGGCAAGGCATCCCCAAAATCAGGAGTTGTCTCCACGTGATGTCTTATACTGGGTGACTGCTGTTGACTCGCAACTGCTGGTCATCTCCAGAAGGCAGCGGCTTCTCCGCGGAAGGGTGGACCAGTTAGAACTGATGGGCAGGAAGGCATTCCCACGGGGATGAAGGAGCGAGGGTCCAGCTTGTACCTGTCTGTAAGAGCCGCCGAACAACAGCTGCGTTCGCTCGTTCTCAGCAGCAGAAAGTGCTCTCAGTAAGGAATGCCCTGCTCAGGGCGTTACACTGTAAATCACAGTGTTCCCTGCAGGAGACTTCCCGGATTCTTGCACATCAGAAACGTCTCTTCTGGTGTGAAGAAGAGGAGGGGTGAGGCGGCCAGCTGGTGCAGGCTGGAGTCACAACATCTGACACGTCCCAGAACCAGGGGAGCGTGTGTTGACGGGCTGGCGGGCTCTGGGGATGGAAAGCAAATGGCAGACAGATACACTGGGCTGCTTGGTGACTCTTTGGATGGGAGATACCCCGCACCCGTGCGCACCCACAGCGGCTCCGTCCCCAGCACCGCGGTGTCCCAGCGCCCTGGGACGGAGGGAGGGGTATGGGGGGGGCTCCTAGACCCCTGAAG